CTCCCCCACATGCACCGCCCCATCGGAACACGCGTTCGCGAATATATACTCGGGAGGGATTTCTGCACCGGGTTTGACTAGCGGCCTGGGTTGGAAAAAAAAAAGGCCGGCCCTTAAAAAGAACTCGATATTTTTTATGCTCCGACAGCAACTTGGGTGGTCCAAAATGGCCGCAAAATCCAATGATATAATATACACGATGCCTCGGGATTAGTATGTATGAAAATGAGTGGCTATTTTTACATACACAGGGATTACCTATCACTATAAAAGTGCACTCTCTCACGTGCCGGAGATTATAACATATTAGTATGTCCGCGGTTATAAGAGCTAGGCTTTTTTACAAGGCCATTTATGAATAGAGATGAAATTCTCGGGCATCACGCGATGAGATTTCAAATAGTGAGTGAGACTGAGAGAAATGCCACCCTCGGGCGACAGACTAATTCCAAAAGTGGTGAAAGATATATTTTACAACTGATCGGATTCAGGGCCTGACCTGATCAGGACTGACCCGGTTATGAACCTGATCATACCGCAAGGCCCAACATCATTACTATGATAATCATTACTAAATTACTCTTACAGACTGATCATTGAATGTTTAAATATAATTTTCTGCAATTATCCCAATTGGTATAATAAAATTGTTTAATCCATTTTTAATGAGTTATAAAAATATATGGAATTAGTAGAGATTACTGATTATTGCAGATATTGAATGACGGAATTTTTTGTTTATCGGTTCATGATGCAGTTCCGCCTGATTGATGGTGCCTGATTTATCCTCCGAAGATCAACACCAAGATGTATATTAACAGAACTTTTTTTTCTCACCTCCAAAGGTATAGAATTTTGCAGTGTCTAATACGACAAGGACGGAAGTACCCACTCAACCGGCGGTTTGTAGTTGGACGATGAGGGAGGGTTAGCCTACCATTTGCGGCAGTTTGCAAACTCCCTCTGAGCAATCGCGAAAACTTTTACGATCGACGAGTGCAGCATGCCATTATTACATGCGCCCTTGGATGGTATTTATCACGGGGCATAGCGAGAAGCGGAAACAATGAGCGATCAGTGTGAAAATCTCGAGAGGAGCGGAAACCGAAAACTCAATTTTGGCTGTTGCAGAAAAAAAAAGGCGGCGAGATGGAGAGAGTGAAAAAAAAAATGGAAAAAATGGCGCCGAGCCGGGCAAATAATGATTACACCTGGAGCTGATCACCCAAGGCTGCTCTCAAGCTCTGCCACATGGAAGATGAGAAATAACCAGAAAAGAGAGGTGGACCGAGAGGTGGGATGAGAGTCAAAGATGGCCGTGGGTTAAACCCTTCGGGCGTTATTTCAGTGTAGCTTTATCGACTCCATCGAGATATTAATTCATCGCAATTGATAGCCAATCGATGACTTCCTCGAATGATCCAGCCAATGAATTCATCACATGAGTATTTTTATATACCAATATATATATCCGGCGAGTGCAGTGTATTCATAAAAAATAAGATCGCAACGGTTAATACATATGAGATAAGAAATCGCTCTCGACACCCGCAAAACGATCACTTATATCTTCTTTTATATAAGCACGAGTATATGGAGAACCGCTGCCACGCATTTAGTATAATTTTACCATTATCCCCACTGTTGCAAACATTTTGACCCGAAGGCTATATATACAATAGGAGAGCATGAACATCATGCGAGACTCATGATCATAATGATTTCGATTATGGCCGTTCCCTCTCGTTATCATTCTCTTTATACACTCGTCGGACATGCGCGTCATTTTTCTATTTTCACTTTACAATCACTCATCCTTATTACTCACTTTTAACCTCTCCTTCGCTGATCTATCATTTATTTTATTCTATCGTCATTGTGATTCATACCTCATTCTATTATATCCAGTGTTATTATTTCTATCTTCAATTGTGCGGATTAATTACCGATCTCTTTATGTTTTTAATCGGGCTTTCCGCCAGTTTTTAGCACTTTTTATCAAACACCGATTTTTCGGATTGTGATCGGGGAGTTTAATAACAATTTTTTGAATAACAATTTGCGCAAAGTGCGTAAGGAGGGATGATAATCCATTGCAAGTGTTACGTGTTAAAAATGGAGAATTTTCTAGCCGTCGGCATTTTTTTTTCAATATTTTTCTTTAACAGTCCATTCTCGCTTCCGGATCTATTCACTTTGTTGACGGTATATTAAACTGCTGAAAGTGATTATGGAAGTGAAAACGAAATTTGTTTTCGCGTGCGATTTTTGGGAGAGAAAAGCGATTATTTTGAAAATTGTATTGTTTCATGAAAAATGTGGGATTTTGGTTTTTAATACTTACAACATCGCCGTAAAATTTCCCCCAATTCTCACTGATTTTTTTCTTTTATTCCTCCATTATTTTCCATTTACCGAACATCGCGGCAATAACGGAGGACTAAGAGGCCGAACACGTGTCGCTGTGTTATATGAGACTAAAATCTCAAATATTAATAACGATGGGTTGCTCGAAGGGATGAGTACCACAGCCTGTAATATCATTTTCGCCTTTTCTCTTCTATTCCAGCTATACCAGACTCGATCAAAAAACCTGACACCATGTGCGACAAACTGCTAAAACTTTCTATACCACTGTGACCGCGCACTTGCGGTACCCTTCTAACCAATATCAAATTAAATGTTTTTTTAGTTTTTGCTTCCCATGTGTTTGACAAAAATTTAAACCGCCAGTCGGATTCTTTGTTCACACTTTGATGGGTATTTATCTGTTTCGCGGAGATTTCCTTTTGTGGTTCAGCAATTTTCCACCTACGGAGATGTTTCATTGGATTTCCGATACTTCACCAGAATAAAGTACCAATCATTTTGGTACTTTCCAGGCGGACAAAGTAATCAAAAGATTATGTCTCATTGCCGTTAGTCAATACGTTCTAATATTTCAAGAGTTCATCAATTAAATTCTCATTAACGCGGAATTATTTTACTAATAGCGATTTTCTTGCGGTGGAATTTTTAATCCGAGTTTTTATATAATACGACAGGCGGCCATTTTGGAAGTTTGTTTAATGTTTTTTAATTGAATTACAATTGTTTTTAATCTTGCAGAGTTTAATGATAACTAAGGATTTTTTAGTAACGAAAAATTAATTAAGATAAAATACAGAAAAACTGAATAGTTTCAAAACATAATTTTCTCATTGATAATTTTAATTGAATATTATTAGATGTTCATTAGTATTGGCTGAAATGGATTTATTCTTCTTGATTTCATTATTTTACGAGGGATTAGTTGTTTTTATTAATTGAGCTTGAAAAATATAAGGGAAAATTGAAAATTTTCTGTGATGCATTGCACTCTTGCAATTATGGCATGATTTACTCGGTGTTTATGTGGAGGATTTACTAGCGCCATCTGGTAAATACTGGAGGTACGGAAAATTATGTATGACTCAATGGATAACTTATTGTGCGTTGGAAATGACTGTCTTCAGTTAATCAAGAAGAACGCTAATTTCGAAAAAGATAATTTCAAAAAACTTCATTGCATAAATTCGAAGATAATTAATAATTAATTAAAAACAGGATTAATTGAAAATTGAAGAATTATAGACGTACGATTTCTATTTAAACTCCTCTCGTGCAATTAATTTGAATATTTTGAACGGCCAGAGTGTTAAAAGTACTCGCAACAGGGAGTGAAAATGAAAAGCTCTGACTATTCATAATAAATAATTATCAATGGGATGTTTATTCCGAAAATAAAAGATCATTTTCATGTCAAAAATATCTGAGCGATAACGTGATACCTCTATTTACATTTGTCAACAATACGATATAATGAGAGCCCGGGGCTTATTTATCTTACAGAGCGTTTTCTTTTAAGTTTAAATGTGGCACCGAGACAGAGATGATCACTTCCCACAACAAAATTTGGAATAGCAGGAAATTCTTTGCATTCCGCCACAGTAGGAAGTCTGTAACGATCCAAAAGTTCAATGTCAGTGTAAAAAATGTAATCAACTGTGATCCACTGATCCTGATGAGTCGTTGCTTCCGCCTCTCCACTGCAGTTGGAGTGTGCATAAACACTTTTTATTTTAAATGGATGCGTCAGAGCACCTGAGGAAAATGTTGCATATTGGCCCTCAGTTATCGTTATTTTCTGATAATCCGACGATTCGATATCGACTTCTTTCGGTATAATAGACCCAGGCGATTCTCTATTCTCCTCACGAGTCTCCTCTTTGCTGTATAACTGTCAAAAAAATAAATCAATAGACCAGTCTTTTTATAGACACTCCATGGAAATCGATTTACAATCGAGTGATAAGCACGAAAGCCCAAAACTTCTAAATATTATTTTACCATCGTTTGTTCATCTCCCGATCCACGTAGTCTCCTCGTCAGGACATTGAAATGCTGACAATTATCAGTAATAAGAAGAGACGAAGGTATGAGAGAATTGCTCAATCGTCGAAATCCAGATTCTTCGAGTTTCCGTCCCTTTCCCAGGTATTGAAAATTTCCATCAACGATGAACTGATAGACCCCAGTGAATGGCTGCAGGTTAAAGTCCCCACAGACAATAATTGGATGATAATTTGGACCATCTCTGGTGATAAATCGAGACATAAACAAGAGGACAATTCTATTTCTAATGACACGTTATAGTTATTGTGACTCAGCAATTTGTTGTTAAATAGATTCTTTTTTCGTGCTCATTTAACTATTCTTTCATGTCATCGTTAATCGAAATATCATGCAAAATTTTCCATACCTTGTGTTTTCAATGAACGAAATCCTCTCCAATTCAGCAAAAAGTACTTGCGTCTGTGCGAGTCTCACATCGCTTCTCTTTGGATTATACAATAAGTGTGTTGTTGATATAACAATGTGCGTCTCAGGCGAATCCCTCAGTGAAAATTTAGCAACAATTCCCACATTATCTCTATTAAGAATATCCGTGGATGTCTGATGGTACTCCACATGCACATGATCAACGAGTTTCAATTGATTCCGACGAAACAGCAGGAGCAATCCATCCCTCATATCATTTGTCCGCTTCTTATAGAGATAGTCAAAACCATTCGCAGCAAATGGCATGATAAATTCCTCTAAATGATCCATTTGCATTTCTTGAATGCATATTACCTGTCAAATTATCCAATTGCTGTAATTTAGCTTTTCTCATTAAAGAAAAAACATTCATCAACTTTTCGATAAACTAACATTAGCTCCAGCTTCGATGATTTCTTGATGAATGAGTGGTTTTCGGCGTTCCCAGCTTAATGCACTCTCGTTGTGATATTTATATAAATAAGAATGAGTCTCGAGTAGATTCTGCGCTAATATGTTGTACGTGAGAAGTCGAAGGATGAAATCGCCCTCTCCGTTGGTCGATGAATTCCCTGGAATTTTCAAACAATAGCGTTGATTAGTTATTGATTAGTTATTAATATAGGTGACTGTTGGGAGATAATTACCCGTTATATTACCGTTGCCAACAGATTTCCATTGTCGTACTTCCCTGTATTTTTTTTTATTCATTCCATACTGCATGCCCGACATACTTTGTACAAAATTATTGGACATTTGACAATTTGACGAATCAGTCTGGGCAAAGCACATGTCAAGGAATGGCTCCATAATATTATTCCCTTGACAATCAACTTCGTTATTGAATTTAGATTTCAACAGATTGATGTATGTAGAGTACAGTGCCTCTGGCACAGATGTGCACTTGCGAAGATTACCAAGGAGCAAATATTTAACAGGTATTTCCGACATATGAAGAATCTGTAATGTCACGATTGCAAATTTTTATTCTCAAAGGTCGTGTCTGTACAGACAATACACAGAAATATTACCAGCAATAGATGATGATAATAATAATAATGACAGAAAAAATGAGACAGTGATACTGATAAACAAGCATAAGACAAGAAAAAATTGATATAATTCGTCGTATGATCACGATATCATTCGAGGAGAAAAAAAAACTTAGCGTTGCAAAGAGTTTAGAACCGCGTGCATTTTTATTTGTCAATGTCATTTGAGGAATACAGACTGGCGAAGTATTATAATTATCGTGGGAAGTAACTGAACGACAGAAGGAAAAATATTTATTGAGTGATTATTGGCGAAAGGAGGGTATTGCTGGGTCATGCGTTTCTATTTCATTTTTATTCTATTACTTACCTTTAATGCCTGGGTTAAAGTACCAATGTGGACGTAACGACTGACTACATTTGCTAAAGATACTGGTGTCACTAATTTAGACCTTGCGATCATTTATTATCCAAATTTTGAATTAGTCTATTGCCAGGGGAAGTGTTCCATCAATGCGGATTTTGTCACTGAGAGAATTTAAAATTTTGGGGAAATTTGGCAATTGTCAATTATTATATTCCATTCTGGTTGGATTAATGGGTAAATCGTTTTTCTTGTGATCTTTGTAATGCATTTACTGCGTGTGTAATGAATTTTTCAGGTTAGATCACACTGTCACAAAGGTCACCACCCGAAAAACTCACCTTGAGTTTCCCGCGTTAAATCCGTCCTTTCAACATTTCAAAATCTCATCCGTCGATGGATAATGTATTGTTATTTTTTTAGTGATGAAAAATTATTGATTTGAGAGGAGCGAGCATTTTGTTAACGCTGTCCAACTGCCTATTGGCAAAATCTTGGAATGATCGCGAAATATCCATTTCCTCAACTGTTGATCTCTCTTCACAATTGTTATCTATTTTGGGTCTCACAATGATGGGAAAAAAATTGTTCAACAATTGGTGCCAGAGGTCAAGAGATGATACAATTCCTTTTAGACACCCAATGTGCTTTTGTACTCACGCCATTGATTTTTTTTCACTTTTATGTAGGTGAGGAGAAAAAAAAAATTTGCATATCTATTAGAAATTTTGCACTCATCGCCTTCCTCGGTGTTGCAAAAAAATTCTGTGTATCATTCCTGTTTACTGGATATTAATTCATAAACGAAGATGGAAAGGGGAACGATCGGACTTACGATCTGATCGACTTTTCGGGGAATATCTCCAGATTTAAGCGAAATAGCGAATTTTTATTCGGAATCTTTTTTGTAGAGCTCATTAAGAGGTACGCGAAAGCTCTAAACAAAAATTTCGCTATCTCTCGTGGATTCAGAGATATAATCGACTTATTCCCCTTCGCTAGCGAATTCCCAATTAATTGAGTGAGAGTAAAATAAAATACTATTTCATAGATAGTTTTATTCGATAAGTCAACAATTATACAATAAAACAATACAAAGCGATTTTTATTAATTGTTAAACATTTGCACGAATCAAGCCTCAAGAATGAAAAAAAACGTGTAAAAAAAATTAAGGGCATTGTAAAAATGAAAACATGTAGATGTTAGATCACGTATATTTAAATTAAACAATTCGACATTCATCAGTTTCTGTAAAATAAACATTTCCCATTATTCACAAATAGTTTGTCACCCTTCGTTATTTTCTTTCCACTTCAACTAATTTCCAGCGTCATTTTCTGCAGGTAAAATCGATGGAGCATTTCCGGATATGAGTGATTATTTATAAAGGCACTGAATGCATTGAGTATTCATTTCCAAATTCACACTTTATGCGGAATGACAGGAGGATGAAAAGTAATCGTCACATCTTGGCTGGATTCGAGTTTTTATCGATATGACGGAATTGACAGCCGGATAGGCGCTAGTATTTCTCAATGTCAAAGATCTTGATATATACTAACTGCAGCACCGAGTGCCCAGCTCATTTCGTGGCCCTCCCATCGCCTATGTAACTGAAAAAACACCGTCGATGTAAAAAAATATATTAAAGCCAGTATTTCTAATGAAATATTAATATATTATTAATGAATTTTTAATTTAATCATTCAGACAGAGTTTTCACTCACATTCAATTTTGTGGAACCCTCGAGGGCGAAGCATTCCTTTAATAAAACGTAAATATACATCATGTCCAGACAAGTGTAAGGTTGATCTGCATTTGGATAATTGCAGGCATCGATGGTTCCATTATAAAAAGTATCTAGAGTTATGACCCCACCTTTGAATGGATCAATCAAGCCAGCCTAAACAGAAATAATTCATTATCATAAGTATTAATTGATCCTGCATGCATTGCCCCACCCTTTTATTTTCATAATCTGTAAAGAAAAACCTCAGTGGCGCGATCGAAGTAGTAAGAAACGCCATAAATCTCATGTTTCTTTAAGCCCAAAGGGCGAACTCCAACGCCATCAATAAATCTTTTGACAAGATTCTTGCAGTCCTCAGCCCTGACAATCGGCCTCTTCTCATCAGCTCCAGCGTAATTCTGTGTCTTGACAATTTGGTAAGAACCATTGACAGGGCCTCTCACCATGTAATTTCGTCCTCCATAACTCCACTCATTAGAAATAATCGGATTGATACATTCAGACCTGATTTCAATGCGTTCATTAGGATTCTGATTATCCTCATCACTCATTTCCAACGTTAAAATGGCCCTTCTGGCTGCCATCACACCCATGCCCAAATAGCTATGAGTATAAAGGCTTAAATTATGACTGAAAGTATTGATTGTATAGATGTGCCCTGCAAGTTCCTTAAAATCATCTTGATCAGGGACATAAGTGACTTGCGTTGATGCACCCCCTAGGTCCAGAACAGCCACAGTATTTCCTATATTGTGGGAGCTCAAACGATTCAGGAGAAAATTCACGGTAAACCATCCATAAATTCCCTCATCTGCGCCTCCCATTAACGAGACGGCAGCTTCTGCAATGAAAAAGCCGGAATTCTTCAAGAAATTTCTGCACTCGTCAAGAAGATAATTCGCTTGGACCTCTGGGAGCAATCGCAATCCTGCCGTTGCCTTGAGATTGAGAGGCGTTTGCGACCATAAATCCTGCGGAATAACAGCTTTAGCTTTTTCAACTAGTCTCCCCAGTGATTCGATCATCTTCTTTGAATTATCCACGTAACTGCTCAATCCTGGCTTTGTCTCCTCGAAGAACTCATTATCAAGAACTAGATCTCCATTGATGATGGAGGAGTGAAATGTAAATACCAGAATACGAGTGCCTGTGGATCCAGCGTCAATCACCACAATATAATTGTATTTTTGGAGTTTTAGGGAACTGGCTATGCTGTCGATGGCCGAAGAACCGATTCTTGTTGTTCGAAGATCATTAGCTATTGCTAGATATCCAAGCAGTAATATTCCCAGGATAAATAGGAAAATTATGGATCGGCGATTGGACTGGCGGGACATTTTCTTCGGACGGGATGCCAATTCTGGGGACGACTCATCGTCCGTTTGGAGCTGCAAATATATTATCACTTGATACTTTTATTACTTTTAGATCTACATATTTTTATATGCTGTGTTGACTGTTACTTCATTTGAGCGAAACAGTTAAGGCCCGGATGGAGGTAATTTTTTCGCGATTGGGAACTTTACGCCCTCCTACTCCGCGGACAAAACCCGAACCTTGATCTCAAGCAATGCCTTGTCGGTAACTACGGCAATCGCTGGAAACCAGGGCAACATCAAACAGTGAGGCTTAGGAGGGCGCCGAAAAATGTTTTCATTCTTTTTTTTTTAATTCGAAAAGTGCATGGAGATATTCCAGATGCCACTAAGGTGGAATGCGAGATTTATAGCTGAACAGTGCGGCGAGGAAGGGTGCTTCCGATATATAGTGAAATCGATTTGAGCGATTTTTTTTTCGATTTAGAAAAACTCGATTATCTCGGCTCCTATGGGTCGTAGAGCAAAAATTCAAACGGATTTGGAATCAGCGCGACGAGACGCATCGATTTCACTTATAGTGAAGTCGATTTGAGCGATTTTTTTTTCGATTTAGAAAAACTCGATTAT